CGCCGGGAGTGCGTGGTGCAGGACCTGAGGACCTGAAGGAGCGGCAGGACTCAATGCCGGGCGCTGTAATTGCTTTATGCTCTGGACCGTGGTGCGGTCAACAAAGCAACGTGAGCGAATCATTTTTGACATGGCCCAAAAGCAGCTTTTCCTATCTCTTTCCACCCGCTGTCTCACACACATTTGGTGAAACGGAAAAGTTAAAGTTTTATGATATTTTTTGGTCAGCCGGCTGCTCGATGCCTGGCAAGGGTTATGGCATTGAAGGCAAAGACCAGAGCTCGAAAGTCGGACATAACTTCTCGCATTGAGGTCAGCAGACACGATACTTCTATCCACAAACTTTGAGACAACTATGTATTTCCATTCCCAAAATATTGCTGACAAAGTAACCAAGTGATAATCGTTTAAAATGTTTGACAAAGACGGATTACGTAATTAAAAGCGGTGACTTTGGAAGACATTATTAAGCATCAATAGATTATAATTTTCGATGCTCTGTTTTAAAAAAAAGAACAACGTGTCAGTTTTTTGACAATCAAGCCCGAAAGACTTAAGTAAGTTAAATGTTTTAAAATGTAGAAAAATTTTAAAAAACGTATGTATTAAAAAGTTTGCATTGATTCTAAGAAACTTAAAATTCTAAAGTGTGGCTTAAATTAAGACTCAAGAAACAAATATTTCAGGAAATATTGACCATTAAAATATAAAACGTATGGTAGTTAAATTAAGATAACAACGCTCTTGTTTTAAAAAAAAACTTTTTATTAATTAAAGAAATGTTTGTCTCCATTTTATGGTTATTTATCATAAATTTAAGAAAAAATTTAATATTTTCAAAAAACGCTTTTCATATGTTTAAGAAAATTGGCTGGAAATTGATGGCGAGTGTCTTAAATCAAAGACGAATTTCTTTAACCAAGGGACTTTTTTTTGAGTGTACATTTCGTATTTATAACTTTTTGACAACTCTGTATAACTTCGAGCACGAATAAAATCAATCTGAAATAAGGACTCAACTCAAACACATCAATATATTAGTCCAATGCAGCCCGTTCCAGTTTCCGTACCTGCAATAGAATAGCTTTTTGGAAAAGTTTAAACAAAGGGGGACTAGTTAGCGTCGATATAGCATGCAGGCGGACATAGCTGAATCACCTCACCTTAAAACTTCATACTTCAACTTATACACTATATACAAGTTGTACAATAGTTTTTTGTACAAGTTTTTTAGGGATTAAAAAAGATTTTAAACTTAATAAAATATTCTTCGAATGCACCGATGAATTTTGGAAATTAAGATAGAGAAAATTTAGCAATTATCCTTACACACGTTTTTACAAATAGACCCACGTTTTCTGCAAGCTCTCGCTGTTTTTGTAAAAGATCCACTTTTGGCAAAACTTTAAAAATTGCATGACAGCGGGTAATAAATTATGGTGTCCCACCACAACACCTCCGCCACCGTCATGTTTTATGCGGCTCTTAAAAAATGATGTATGTGCGGATGATAAAATGAAGATTGCAAAACATCAAGCGAAACACGTCTGGCCAGAGTGCATCGCACTCGAATGTCAAAGCTAATAAGCAGCTTCAGTGGGAAATATTTTTCCCGGGGGAAAACTCTGTCGCCGTTCCTGTTTCGCTTTTTTTGCCGGCTGTTCTATTTCGTGGCAGATTTATGGGTAAACATAAAGCCCAGGTGATGACGTTGAGGCTAGGCAGGTGGCGAAAGTTTAGTGCCCACATGTGGGTGTTTCCCACAAAAAGCGCTGCACACTTTGCGGCTGGCTCTAATTAATGAAAGACTTCGCCCTTGCCATTCTGCCACTGTCAATGCATAAAGAAATTTTGCTAATTAAAAATAATCGCAATAGCAAAGCTGCACTACAACTTTGTCTTTGCCTCGGAAAACCCTTCATTTCCCCCTCCACTCTGTCCTGGAAAATTCCCTGAGCAGTCGGCCATTTCTTGTGATTATCTTAACAACTTGGCCATGTTGCTGCACCCGCTGAAGCACCATTGCAACACTCAAAAAAACAAATAACACGAATTAGAAATGAGAAAAACATATATTACAATTACTATAATTAAATGCATTAAGATGCCATCGCAAGCCAAATTTGAATTGATAAATACCTAAAAAAGAAAATGGCTTAACCTTTGACCTGAAGAAATGTGAAATGGGGCCTAAAACATATTTTTTTCTTTGCAAGAAGACATAGAAATTGCTCGCGGGCTGCAAGTAATTGTCTCTGGCTCGTTTCTTTGGATTTGGATTCGGATTTGGCGGCTTGGCTGGCAACATCATTAAATGTGTATATAATGGAATTGCTGTGATTTGTTCCTAGCGGAAGATTTATTATCACGCTGCCATTTTCCAGGCGAAAAAATCGGCATTATGTTCCGCATGCCTGGTGACAAAGTGCAGCCAGACGATGGCTTTCATTTTGGGTTGCTCCACAGCAATCGGGGTCGTTTACATAAACACTTTGGAAATTTATTGCTTTGGGCTGGCGTGTGTGTCTGTCAATGGCAAAAGTTTGTGCATTTAATTTGTGCAAAATTTGCCTAGAACTCAAATTGAATTAACCTGATGACTCAGTGGAATGTGAGGCGGTGTTCCGGCAACTGAGTTCGCCCCAAATCGGATTAAATATTGAGTACTAGCCCGTGCTTTGTCTCTATGTTGGAGAAATCCCTACCGAAACGCCATCGTTTGTCGTACAAGTTGAGCCATATGCCAACTCATTTGCATTTAAAGTTTTTCCTTTTCACAAGTTTTGCTGTGAACATATGCTCGAAACCCTATTAGGTCTTCATCAAATTAAAATATGTCCGCCTTGACGTGAATAATGCCCGAGGCCATGGCTGAACTTATTTGCCTGCAAAACTATACAAAAGTTAGAGTCATCCTGGCGCTTCCTCAACTAGAGAAGGTGCGCAATTTTGCAGTGATCAAATAAATTAAAAGTTGACCAAGGACCCAGAAACAATGGAGCAAGCTGCAAAGTCTCTTAAGTCTCAGTTGAGTTGTTCAAACATCTGGGCAAATGAGTGTGAGGGTTTTGACAGAGATTATATCTGGATTGCTGGATTCGGAGCTTAAAATGAAAATGTGTGACAAAATGAAATACTTGTGCCTAAGTGAAATTGTTTTACTTTGCTTTTGCGCAGTGCCGTAAGTCACGAAGTAAAATAAATGACAAATATACTCGAACAAATTTTAAAAAATATTGACAGAGTGCAAAGTAATCTTAATTCCTTAATGGACTTTGCAGCATGTATGAAATCAATTTGCACCTCTGGTTTGATGTCATGTCAGAGTGGCATATAAATTACATACGTAATCCCCTAGCATGTTCATTACATTAAACAACATCAATTGTGGCTTGCATTGACATTTTAAATGATTATTGTTCGTCGTATGCGGGGATATTTCTGTTAAGCAAATTCAGCAAGTCTTTAATTGCAGCTATTTAAGAACAATGTTTGCGGGAATTTTTCGCAGATTCTGGCATTCGATATTCCCAGGACGAGCCAGTTTTGATTAAACACTCTGTTATTTGGCACTCCCCTGTTGGCAGATTGAGTTTGCGTTTAATACCTTTTACGTGTCCGGCTTGCTAATTAATGTCCGTCGCCGGCCGCTCGGTGTAATAAATTGGATTTGCTGTTAACATTTTTATCAGTGTTTTGTCATTACCGACTATGGGGATTTGCTGTCAATTTCGTGGTGGCCAAAGTCGGCCAAAGCCGGCCAAAAGGCCCACAAATTCGGCTACCACTTTAAAGGGAAATCTCGGCTTTAATAATCCGTGTGCGTGATCGAACTTCGGCCAGCTGGCTACTAATGCCCATAAATAGTTCATTGCATTTCCATTAGCCACTTTGTGGCAGACCTGACTGTTCGTTGACCTAATGTGTGCAATTCATTATGTGCAATTAGAGTTCAATTCAGGGGCTCTGCCTGGTCAAAGTTCAAGGATCGGATAGGCCGGCCTCTTGAGGCCATAACACATCATTAATGGGCTGTGTGGCCGGGTTGCCAAAGAAAGTGTAACAATAATGGGCTCGTTTGTTTTCATTGCACACGTGCTGGAGCCCGGGCTTTGGTTAAATATGCTCTTAATAGACACAGCATTCTGGGCCTTGTTTTTGCGGGGCAAACATTGGCCAGGTCTCCTGTCGGCGGCAGCTTCTATTCCCCTCTCAACGAGCCACTCCTGTGCTCCTTCTGATGGTTCAGTTTCCCTCTGAGCGGTCAAAAAAAAAATGAATTTAACGCGCAAATGCATATTTAATTGTGCGAAAATGTGTGAAATCATTTTGAACTTAATAACTTTACCCACTTGAATACTGGTTAAATGTTTCGCTGGATAAACTGTATTTTCTATTTTCTGCACATCAATTTTAATTGAAAAATCATAAAAAAAAATCGAAAAAAATGCATATGCAAAAGTACAATTTCAACAGCATATTCTTTTGTTTTCTTAAAATTTGTCTATAATAGTCCATAAATACCATATAAATGTATGCATTCAATATTCTTCTTCGAACTCGTCGGTGAATGTTTTTTTACAATGCGTATCCTTTACCATTAGTGCATGCATACTGCCTGCATCAATTGCTTGTGATTTTAACAGAGATTTTTTTGCTTTTTTTTCACGCCACTTTGCACCAGGCTGATGTTGAATTAAAAAATTGATAAATGATTTTTAAAATGCCTATGTGAATGGCTCTGTAAATAAAATGCATCAGCCCGTCCTGCTTCCAGATATGTTTGATAAGTCCGCACGATATTCTCGGCTATTTGCATATTTATTAATTAACACCAACGGCTTAAAGGAAATCCCCAAGGACACACAATCACGCGTTGACAGTGACAACTGTGCGGCATATTTATTAAAGCTTTAATTGGTCAAAGTGCGGCCCGCTTCAGTATGCCATTTAAAATAGATCATAGCACATATGTCTCTCGACTCTGAAATTCCCGTGAGAGGCAGTGATAAAAATTTTCAATATGTCCATATTGACCATTAAATCCAACTCCTCGTTCGCGGATGTGCTGCGGGGTAAGACAATTCCGGTGAGCCGTCTGAGCCAGGAGTCGCTGGCCAAGGCGCAAGGCAAGGCCAAGAAGGTGGAGCAGTTCCTGGCCAAGGCCAAGTCCCCGTCCCTGATTTCGCTGGGTGGACTGTCCTCCCAGTACGAGTTCAATAGGCTCCAGGAGCTGAACAAGTGGTGGGAGCCGAGGACTCGGTACCGGGACGAGGCCGATGTCAGTTTGCATCCCAGCTACGAAATTAAGCAGTTCTCATAGTCCGATTAAATCCAAAGTGTCGAGCTGCTTAGTGTACTAATCGCCCTATTTTGCAGTGATCTTAATTGCTATGTGCGGTATTTGGAAGCCAAGGAACGACACGAAAGGCAGTTCGCGCAGGAAATGGAGCACTTCATTGCCAATCAGCGCAATATCTGCGACCAGTTTTTTCTGAAGAAGTAAGCTCACAGTTTAAATTGAGAACAAAGTTTACCTTAACCTTTTTTTTTTTTTTGCTTTCCAGAATCCTGTGCTACAAGACACGTTGGCCCCCGCTGCACACAAAGCGAGAACTGAACAACTTCGTCTCGAAGTTCTTTCAAATGACTGCAAAGGAAAAACGTCGGGTCGAATATCTCATGAAAACTGATTTAGGTGTGGGGTACTAAAGCTTATACAATTGCAAAGTAAACTCTGCCATTCATAGCAACGGTTTAATTAGCAGATTTCATTTTGCAATTTTATTTTGCAATACCAATCTAATTACTTGATGAAAAAAAATACACACAGCCGATAAATTTCATTTAGCAATTAATCAGTTTTATTTTCCTGCTCTGAAATTAATAAGGCAAAACATTTGTGGCTAACGGTATGAGAGCATTTTACAGTTAAGAATATTAAGTTATATTACGGTATTAATTTTTAATTAGATCTCTCGCACAAAAAGCATGATTGGAAGAGGAGGCAATCGAAATTGAGCTGAATTAAATCCGCATCTGTTAACATTTTTCCGCTAAATTACGCTTAAACAAACTGCCGTTTGTGCATATTAAATTTTTCAGATCCATTCATAAATGAATTGAACAATAAATTATTTATTGTTGAACCATGTAACTATGTGGGAAATTTATGTTTAAACGCGGTGCAATTGTTTCGACCTTTTTTTTTTACAATTTTCCAATAGGAGACAGATATGTGCATTTGGGATTGTGTGTGTTGACAGGAAGTGCGCCATTTGTCAGAAGCTAGTTTACGGCCATTTTTTACCCGTTGACTCGAGTTTTGTTTGCGCTGTGTAAACACACCTGAAAAAGGTCAACTGGACAAATGTTTACTTAGTGAACAATGGCACAGATTGGTCATGTAAATGTTGCTCTTCAATTCAGCTATGCCTGTTCTTTAAAATTAATCACATACCTTTCAATTTATTGTTGTGTATTTTATATACAGGCCACAATAATAAACAAACACGAATAATTCGTCAGCCGAAAGTTATTGCAAAGCTTTCACAATATGAAACCAAAGTTGTGAATGCAGCCAGGCCTGCATTGCATTTAACATTTTGTTTTCAATGTGACTTTACCATGTACAGGCATTAGGGTGTGATGTTTTAATCATTGGTTAGAGCATAAATTCAGTTTAAAACTATGCACACAAAGAATATATATTCCGCTCCAGTTAATGCAACACCCAGTATTAACAAAGCTGAAGACTTTCTCGCCTTTTATCGACACACTCTGACACTGCCTGGAAACTGCCCTAGACTATGGTTCATGCCTGAGCGGACTTTCAACCCCGATAACCAGCTTCAATTAATGCCAAAGTTGACCAATTTTAAAGCCGCTTTGAAAAGAAACGCCCTCGCAGGGAAAAAATCACTGTGAAGCTCTGGCATCCGCAGCTCACAGCTATAAATTATAATTTCCGCATGCTGAGCTGCCCCGGCCCCCATTTACGCTACCATATATCCATACATATATCCATATATCCAAGGGCTGGCCATCGTCCGCCAGTCCCTGGTTTTATGATGCTTATGGAAAAAATTCTTGCCACTGCATGGCTGCAAGGTGTGCGCCAATTTCCGGCACATGTGAGCGTGTCAGAGTCGGTGTTGGTGTCGGTGTCGGTGTCTGCTCGCCTTTATGCACATCTATATATATATATATATATATATATATATATATTTTAAAAATGTTTGGCCGACACCCATGTCCGTGCCCATACATACATATGTTGCCAGAATAGCCGGAGAAAAAAATTATAATTAATAGCGCTCGAAAAGAGCGTCGCAAAAAAGCAAACTATGCATAACTTAAAGCTTGCCAAGCCACAAGCTGTCCATCGTAAAGAAACGTATTTTTATTACTCATACGCACTGGGAGAGTGGAGGCTATACTCACCTTATGAAAGTATTTTTCAAAAGGCTCAGCCCTCACTTGGGGATAATTTATCATTCTTAAGCAGCTCATAATCGAATGTGATGTATGATTCCCAAAGATGAATGGCTAATCTTGCGTAGCCGTGGCTATCGGCTATCATCACTCTAACCATTGTCTGGGTTAGGCTAGGTTAGGCTAGGTTAGGTTAACCATTGCCTACGCTATGTTTGAATTCCATATGTAAAATGTGATTTCATCATCGCCACGTCACGTCCGCAACTTTAATCTTCTGTCAATACCTCCCGATTCTTACGCTGCACACCCAATTTCCCAGCCATCACATAAACGATCCTTCATTTCTGCCCCCGTTCCTCTGGAGCAACCCACTTGGCGGCGTAATGAATGTTGCTTGTTTGAGCAACATATTTAACAACAAGTAGCCTTGTTGAGCAATCATTGCTTGTTTTACTTGACTGGGGTATTTGCACTGGCTGAAGAAGTTTGCTTGCGGAAAATATGATTAAGTCCTGCTGGGGACTTAAGTGTAAGTGATGTACATCTTGAATATTTGGTACACATTGAAGTGCTTGGAGTAGTGTTTTGTTTGCGTATTCAATGCGACCGAGGACTGTGTAATTTTTTACTTTATTGCGAACTGCGGCTTGGAGATAAATATTTTATGTATTAAATGTATTTCACTAAGAAAAGGAATAATTGCTTAGGTCTCCGGAGATTTATGTGTTCTGGTTTAAAATAATTTCTACATATCTTTTTATTTTTGTACGACTTCCCAATTGTGGGCAACACTGAAAATGTTTTATTTTGTGGTAAATTCATTTGTTTTTTTTAGCTCGTGCAGTACTTAAATGGTATATCATAAATATTAATATAAATATAAATAAATGTTTTTCCTCTATTCTGGTTGTTTCTCTTCAATGAATACTTAAAAAAAAATGCAATAAGAGCTAGAGTAAAGGAACATCATACGGTTTCCTTGATTTCGTAGTCCATAACTTCCGACATCAAGATTTCGGGGCGCACACATAGGCACCCAGCCACCCACACAGCCACAACCACAGCCAGAAGTCGGTGAGTATCTGTGTGTGCTGGTGGTCCTAGCTCGCTGGTCGTAACTTCCGCTCAAAACGCACACCACTTGAGTTTTGTGTGGCATTGCAAAATGCATTTTATACGCAATAAAAATACACTTACGGGGTTTTTTACAGCTCGCTCGCTTTGAGGCAGTCGGCAGTCGGCCGTTCCGCCCCTCGCCGCCACGCCTCCCTGGACTCGGCGATTTCATTTCTTTTGGCGCCGTTTTTCTACTATAATATTTCCTACTTACAAAAATAAAAAAGGAAAAGTCAGTTGGTCTGCCAGTGGCTTGTTTGTGTTCTGTTTTGTTGGTTAAGAAAATTTAATGAGCTACTTAATGGCGTTGTGGTGCAATTTACCCTGCTCAGTGTGTGTGTGGGTGTGTGTGTGTATTTGGCCCATCCCTCTAGCTTTAAGATTTTTACCAGTCGGTTGTTAAATAAATTTAAATTATATTGTCGCTCCCTTTACAAGCCCTTTCTGCGGCTCGGTGGTCATTCCCTCTCCAAACAAACACATTTTTCCGGCTTGCGGTAGAAAAGTGTGTGCTACAAGTTTATTAATACTTGCCCTGCCGGCGAACACTCAATCATCTCAATGCTTCGAGGGTCTGGGGCAAAGGATCCTGTAAAACATCGACAAAGAAGTGAAAAACTCGGAAAGAACGAATGCCGAAAATAAACACAAATAAATTGCCTCATCATCACATTTGCCTGGAGGCCATATTTTAGCCCAAATGATTCGAAACTTTTGAGCGCAGGTAAAGGGCCTGTAATGCTTATGAATAACCGCAAAATTCTGCACTCGAGAATGAAAATTTAATCAAATATTTTGCCTTCGCCAGTGCGGTTTCGGCAAGAAAAGCCTGAGCTCATAGTTCCTGCGTGAACGAATTTTTTAAATTTTCCATGTTTCAGCAGGATGCTGAAAGTGCTTTTAGAATATTTTCATGCATTCTGTTTAAGTTGCCCGAAAAATGGCTGAGATTGCATGCTGAACTTTTATTTTGTTGCGCACACAGAATAGTCAAAAAAAAAACTAAAAACGACAAATTTAATTTTCCCAGTTGAAACTAAAAAGTCTGCACAGAAGGGTCACTTTGTCTCTCAATGAGGGCATTCTAAGCCCTTTGCCATTGATTGGCAGCTTGTTTGTAATTTTCCAACTCAATTTTCCAGAAGCAGCTCACGTTTCAGCTGGGAAATGGTCCAGATGCCCTTGGTCACTCTCTGTAAGTGATAGCTTGAGCCCCTTTTGATTTCCGTTTGAAATTAATTGTACCATTCATTATTCGGGAACAAATAGTCGTAATAGGAGCGCAATCAGCAGACGTAAAAATCAACTGTCCTTTGGCATTTCATATGTGTTTGCACAGGCAATTGCCAATGCACAGCATGCAAAATTGGAAATGCAAATGCTAAGTAAATAATGTCATTGGAAAAGCGGCAAATGATGTGGCCGAGTCAGAATCGGCGGTAACAATCAGCAGGGCAAGCGCAAATCGCATTAACCCGCTCCCGTGGCTTTTAGTTCAAATGTGCAGCATTCGCACACCCAAAAAAAAAAAACTGAAAGTTTAGTTTTAATAAGTTTGTCTTGAAAAAAACTAGTCAGTGTTAAATTGAAAGTATGTATTATAAGAATCTAAAATTTAGTGAGGTCTTAGTTACGCTTAGCTCTAATACTTTCGTGGTGTTTATTTATCACACAAATTTGTATGAAAACTTTTTTTTGTGTGCATGTACTGTACAGACCCGGCCAAATGGATTTCCAATAGTCGATTGTTGGCGAACACAACTAAATTTCCCGACTCCTTAAATTCTCTCACTTCTCCCCCAAACAAACGTTCTAAAATGCATAGATTTTCGAGCCATTGAAAGCCATTCAAAAGCACGCGAAAGGCCGCAAAATCGACTTTGGCATTTGTGACGAGTGCATTCAGGCCAACGCCATAAATTGCGAAAAAATCGGGAATCGTTCTGGGGGGCTTCGGCCTTGGTATCGGGTCAATTTTGGGGGGTTTGGGTTTGGGTTTGGACTGCACTGTGACAGTGCCAGTTTAGCTATGCATGTTAAACGAAATTATTGCAACTTTTTGCCCGACCCTCATGGCGTATGCGTAACGCTCGCTCAATTCATCAATCACCGAATTTGTCTGATGCTCATGTTTTTTGTTTGTTTAAAAAAGACTTAGATTTATGCGATTGTTGCCGCAACCCAGTGTTTTTTCTGTGCAACAACTTGCTGTTTGTTCAAACATTTTTCCGCTTTTATTCCGCTGAGAACTACATTTGATTTGGGCCACTTATGCTTAAATGCTGTTTTTTTGGCCAGCAAGAGGGGCAAGAATTTCGCTTGCAAATCGTCGGCATTTAATCCAATTTCGGGTTCATCCGCCGCGTTAAAGGTACCGTGGGAATTTTCAGGCTCAATAACAGTACAAAATCTGAGTTTTAAATTCTGAATTGATCAATTTTAAAAACGAATGACTCGAATCGCTCAAAAGGTTTGTATTATTTGTCCTTAGTTTTTTTTATTTTAAATGGCATGTTCATATAAAATCAATGCAATTATGGTTGTAGCAGGTAAATAATTTAACAGTTTTAGTTGACTCGTTAATTTATGGAAATATATTATTTTTAAAGTTATTTTTCTGCCATGGTATCTGGGCAGATCGTTAGCGCAGTTGGCCATTTTAAATGCTGCGAACACAACTCAATTAAGTCTGTAACTGACGGAGGCAGCCTCCCACTTAGCCATTTCCACTTCGGCCCACGAGTAGCAGAAATTCGCACAACCATGGAGTTAGAGTGTGATTCTGGACACACTCCATGCCAATCGACGGCAGCCGGATGGAATGGGGATTGGACGGAATTGGATGGGATATTGTGGGCTGAGTGGGGTTGGGCTGAACCGGGCTGGGAATATCTGTCTGGCAGGTGTACGAGTCGTTTTGCCACTCCATTGCAGAAAAACCAACGCCTGTGCGAGTGCGAGTGTCCGTGTGCGTGTTAATTACATTTGGCTTGCATTTGGGGAAAGTTGGGTCTCAAAATTGAATTACAAGTTTTTCGCTCGCCAGCATTTAGCAAAAGTGTTATTTGTTTTGGCTTGCGCAATTTAGCCACACATGGCCAGAGAGTTCAGCTGAGCTGGGAAATTTTCTCTTTATTCTATTTTGGCAAAAGTTGCTTCAAGTTTCTGGCTAGTGCTAACCAAAAAATAAAATGGTTTGTTAGTTTGGGAAAAGGCTAAAATATGGCCATTTTTACACATATACAAGTGAATTGTTTTTAACGTGCTTAGGTCGGTCACTAAGTCTTTAGGTAGTTAAAGTCTTTTTAGATTCTAACCAAAGTAAACCTATGTAAAAGTGGCAACTATTTTTTTTGTTGAATCGTGTTAAAAATAGCCTTTATAGTTTGTTAATAGGTAAGGAAAATATTTGCAATTTGCAAGATGCTGAAATGTGTGCTAATAAAACTTTGCCTAATCTGGTATTTTTATATTTTTAAAATCTACTTGTATTAGTTATTCTGACAACTCATTAATGGCAACAACAAGTTGCCAAAAAAAAATCAGCTTTCTTTCTGTTTTATTCAATTTAAAGGCGTTTTATAAATTTTATAAATTTTATAAGTTTTTCTTTGTTTTTATGTGTTGCACTTGTTTTTTAATAAAAAATAAAAATATTAATATCCAGCTGTAGAAACTTCATGAAAAATCGGTTGCCATTATTTTATTGAAGCGACGCTGCTCAGTGGGAGAAAGCTTGCAAAAGCCTTGTTCAAACATTTTCAGCTCCTTTCTCGTGTGGAGCGGCGGCCAAAGCGAGGTGTAAGCCATAGTCCTACAAAATAAAAAAAAAATTTTAACTCATATTGTGCATTGCTGGAAACAAAAATGATCAAATTTTACGATTTTTTTTGTACATACTACAAATAAAATCCTCTTTATTCCCTTATAGATGGTACTATAATTCTAGTCAGAACGTTGTAGTGGAGACATTTTTGGCCCTATAAAGATTATAAACTATACTATCTATACTATAACTGCAAGTGTATGTAAACATTGCTTTGCCGAAGTTTGCTTCCTTTCTTGCTTTTTTTCATATATTTTTCTGATTGATTTAATTCTTTTAGAATCAGAAAACGATATCGTCTAGCTGTCATAGGAACTAACGAATAATTGAACTTCAAATCATCATAGCTTCAATGCTTTTAATCATATACGTAAGTAAATCATAATTTTAATGTTTTCAAAAACATTTAATTTTTGAAATAGCTGCAAGGGTATATAAACTTCGGCTTGCCGAAGTTTGTTTCCTTTCTTGCTTTTTTATATTTCTATTGTTCCCATGGGAGCTATATGATATAGTCGTCAGAATTTAATAAAATTTATACAGTCATTCTAAAATAATAAACAATGGCTATAAAAGTTATAATTGTTTTTTGTTTCTTTTGTCCGATTCTTCATTCTGGAGCTATAAGATATAGTCGTCCGATCCAATGACAGCTGTATAACTGTCAATTGCAATAGCTGCAATGGTCTATAAACTTCGGTTTCCGAAGTTGCTTCATTTATTGTTTGATTTTATTTTTTTAAAGAAATGGTTTAATAATTGAGAATTATGCTTTTAATTTTATTTATTCGGAAAACGTTATCATATAGATGCAGTAGGAACGATCGCATAATTGTGCTAACATCATCACAGTTTTAAACATATACGCATATAATTAATTATTTATTCGGCTTACCGAAGTTTTCATCTCTTTTTGTGAGTATAGATTTAGCTCAGGAACTCAGATTAAGGATATTTTTACGCATCATACCCTTGCAGAGGGTATTCAATTTTCAGTCACACGTTTGCAACGCAGTGAAGGAGACATTTGCGACCCTAGGAGAGTCGATCTAGCCATGTACGTCTGTTCGCCCGTCTTTCCGTCTGCGTCTACGCAAACAAGAGTTTTGTTTTATTGCAATCTACAGAAAAATTTCCAAAATTTTTTTTTCTATTGCAGGTAGTATATTTATCGTAACTAGCCAGATCGGTCAACTACATCAATAGCTCCCATAAGAACAATCAAAAATTTGTTGACAAAAAATTATAGCCTGCTGCTTTTGTTTCATATTCTTTAAGGTCTAGTAATTGTTTACTATTTCAGAATTACGGGCTTAGTACGACGATTACATCATATAGCTCCCAAATAACTATCGTAAAAATGAATTTTAAACATGTTTTTCAAGTTATTCAAATGTACGTAGAGAAATAGTAATTGTTTATAAATTCAATTTTACGGTTTTACTTATGCCCGTTACTCGTTATTTTAAACGTAGCCACGCCCACTTTAACGCCCACAAATCGAGAAACACGTCTGTCACGTCACTCCGATATATGTTAGACTTTAACTGTTGTACTCTGTGTGTGTGCTTTGGTCATACTATCGGAAGATATGGTGGCACTGCCACCATTCTACCGCCCCTCTGCCGCAGCTCAGCCACTGATCAGCCGCTGATCAGCCGCTGCTCGGCCGCTGCTCTGCTGGTGGTTACAGATGAGAGATAGAGACAGAACTGTTATTGGGGGGTAGGGGTGCTGCACTCTTCTAGTATTGGCTGTGCAGTTCGACAGATGGCGTCACCGATTGTTTTGTAGGGGAATATTTAGTATGAAATTTATTAGCTGAGTAACGGGTATCTGATAGACTGAAAACTCGACTATAGCGGTCTTTCTTGTTTTTTATAACATCGGGCATCGAAATCATTTAGCTGCCATTGGAAACCCTATAGCTGCTATAGGAATATATGGCTTACCTAACAAATTGCCAGGCATTTTCGGCTGTAGACTGGTTGTCGATCAGGAGATTTACTTCCCGCTTGAACTGCTGGGCGTACTCCCGCTTGGAATTGTAATACCGCTCTAGACATCGTATTTGCCTGACAAGGATAACTATAATGACATTTTGGCATTAATGTAATATTTTTGTTGCGATCTCACAATGGTATGCGGTGCTTAGAGAAAGTGGGTTCAAGCTTAAGGTCCCTGTCGTCATCAAATTTCGTTTGATAAATGGGTTTAAATGCTTCTTCATCCTTCGCTTCATAATTAGGATCAACAAATGGCTTATCAGCCCAATGGCGCCTCATCATGGATGAGAACGAGTATCGCGGATCGTCACTTGGTCGGATATTGGTCCCAATAATAGAAGCGCAGATGGACTTCATTCCCATGCTCATCCTTTTGTCCTCCATTAGTTTTCTCTTTTCCTGAATCATAGTTTTCCGCTCAGTCGATTGGCTCATTTTGAAAGTTTTTTTAAATATAAGTTTATCTCTGTGGATAATATTTCTTTGAACTGTTGAATCGAATATTTTTGTTTTTGTTCTGTTCATATGTAACTTTTGACTGAATGTAAGGCTCTGCTACATTGATAGCACATTTTTACATTTATCAAATACACTTTTAAAATGTTTCCATTCGGACCGCTTCATTCAGGTATTTTGCCTACACAGGCATTTGTTATCTCTGCGTGACGAATGGTAACATTTAAAAATTGATTTAGTCGAACGCTTATTCTTTTTCGACAAAAAATTTGATATCAGATATTTTATATGTTGAAGGGGCGATCATCACGACTTTTTTACCTCGTTAGGGGGTGTTTTTGTTTGATATCAGAAGGTTATAATATAGTCAAAACACCCCAATATTGTGACCATGGTTTTTCCAAAAAAAAAAATCTTTTACCTATACTATACTTTTACCAGCACTAAATTACGTTTGTCAAGATTTTAAAGATTTATTAACAAGAAAGCAAGCAAACTTCGGCAAGTTCAAGTTTATATACACTTGCAACTATTCCAAAAACTAAAAGTTTTTAAAACAACAATATTTTGATTTTCATGCTTTAATGTTTTACAAGAATCGTCCTTAAAATTTTTTGAAACTGATAAACGACACGGAAAAATGTTGTATATTTTAAATACACCAAAAAAGTATTTTTTGAACGGAGCATCAGATCCAAACGAATTTGGTGACATTCGACGCGTATTGTGAATAAAATTTAAACAGTAATAAAAAGTGTAATATTTTACCATCACAAGCTAGAAAACTTCACTTCAAACAAGAAATAACGCCATTGTAGTTCCCCGACTATTAAATACCGGTTACTCAGCCAACGAACTTCAACCTAAGTTGCATTTACCTTACAAAACATTCGCGGATTAGGTGGCGCCATCTGTCGAACTGCATAGCCAACACTAAGGGCGTGCAGCAACCCCACCTCTCTCTCTCCGTCTCTCTCTCTCTCTCTTTCTCTCTCTCTCTTATCTGCTAGCAGCGACAGAACAGCGTCCGATCAGTGGCTAAGCAGCGGCAGAGGGGCGGCAGAGAACTTCATAAACTTAAAAAGAATGTAACAAATAGAAGAAAGTGTTTCCGACCCTATAAAGTATAATTATTCTTGATCAGAATTGAAAACTAAGTAGATCTGTCCCTCCGTATGAACGTCGAGATCTTGAGAACTATTAAAGCTAGAGATTTGGGATGTAAAATGCACGTTCCACTACTTCTTACGCAGCGCAAGTTTGTTTCAGCAGCGACAGATGGCGCCACCTAAACTCCGATTGTCTTGTGGGGGAATATTTATATTTAATTTGAAATTTGTTAGCTGAGTAACGGGTATCGAATACTCGGTAACGTGAAATGCGTGTTTAGTGTTAGAGTGGGCGTGTCACCGTTTATAAACTGTAAATGAACATGTATATATGAAATAAACTTGCGTTGCGTAAGAAATACTAGTATCTGCATTTCATTTCTAATGGCCTAGTTACTCAGACACAGTTTTGTTATGCATTAGTCACCAGTTTGCAACGCAGTGAAGGAGCATGAAACTATTTTAGTATATGCATGGTATAGGTTCTAGGCACATCTCCATCTGCAATAAATTGCTTGACTTAAAGTATCCACGAGAGTAGCTAAGTTTTTTGTTTTGTGTGGGTTTTGCCAATAACTAAATAATGCAACTTTAATGCAACTAAAATTTTTAAATTGAATTTTTTTAAATATCTTTAAGGGGCTTGTTCATTTCTGTTATTTATTTTTGGGTCCGCCTTTAACCTATTTCTTTCTTTCGGTAAATTTGGTCAAGAAACCCAAGCCACAAAGGCACAAAGGCCTTGGTCCATGCCTACTGGTTCCTGCAGGCATCATTAACCTTTCTACGAGAACACAATTAATGAGCCAAGCCATTGTCTACTTTGTTTTCCAGCCTCGCCACGCCTGGTGAAATGCAATCAGCCAGCAAACAAGTGCAAACTTGGAGATGGGAAGCGCCAAACTCCCGGAAAAGTGCTGCTTGCATAATAGAAATTCATTGCCAAATTGCATAGAAAATAGTTGAGAGCGCTAAGAAGTGCCGCTGGGCAAGTTTGCAGTATCTCGAAAGTTATTCCACTCGACTATTACCAACGGGGAATAGCGATTTTAATTACCGCAAATGCTCGCCTGTAAGCGTATTACGTATACGCAGCGTGGCAACAGCAGCTGATAAAATCGCATTGAGTGTAAGTTAATTAAAAGCTGGGCGCCCTGGCCCCCAAAAATACTCTCGACTTGGCTTTAATTAAAACATCATTTGAACAAAAGCGGCCTTCGTTGCGCTCCTCACGGTCGAATGGTATTCTGGATCCAGTCCATATAGTCGGAAACTCGTGTGTACACTCCCGGCCAGCCCTCTAGTCCGCAGCGGTTACCGAAGGAGACCACGCCCTCCTGGTACCAGGCCTGGTCGTACGCCCTCCGCATAAGAGGTCCTCCGGAATCCCCGTCGCAGCTGTCCCGGTAGAATTCCCCGCCGACGCACAACTGGGAGCTGATCAGGTTGATGTTGCGCGTCGCGAACTTCCGTGCGCAGGAATCGTGGTCATTAACCGGGAGATCCAAGCGCTGCTTTATGGTGCTCTTGCGGGCTGTAAAACAAGGAATTTCATCAATGAAATAATACAATTTTTTAAGCTGGCTTAAATAGTTAGGAGCAAAAAAATTTTTACAAGAATATCTGGTTAAACAATACAACAGATTTACATTTCTGGATGTGATTTTTTTAGGTCAAAACAGTATATTGATCACGGCGTTATTCTGAAAACTGCAAGGGTAAAAATTTAAAATTTATATAATCACTACCTTGATACAAAGTAAAGTAGGCGGACTATTTAGAGTTATTACAATTAAATTAAATTAAGATTAAATTAGTTTAAATTGTTTTAATTTACTGTCTAGATGAAAAACCTGGCTAATCAACAAATGACATATACAACAGGATCGAATTTTTTGGTGTAAAGAAAGAATTGTTGTAAAAAATATGTTTTTTTTTTCACAAATTAAACATATGTTGTTGTTTATTTATACCTTACCAATATTCAAACCCTAATTATTTAACTCACCGGTAGTGGTACGTCCCCATCCGCTGACTACCAATATTTCGCCCGTACTGATGGCCTGTCGTGTGCTGACCAAAGGTAAACAAACCGGCTGGATATACTCGTTTAGCAGAACAGGCCGATCGAGTCGCAATAAGGCAATATCGTGTACGCGGTCCTTGTTGGCAGGATCATATTGAGGATGTACTATGGTCTGTTCAATACCCATTTCAATAATGGGCTGGTTGCAGTCTCCATCCACGCAATCAATTTCCTTGCTGGTGTCGTATTCCCCCAAGCGAACAGTAGTACTGGAATAAGTCAGGCAAAATAATTAATTTTTTGATTAAACCGGTTAAAAGGAAATCTATTTCAACTCAATTACTGGAAAAAACCTGAAAAAAGCCACATTTTAATGGTGCGCTTTCCAATTAAGCTTCATCCGAAAGCTAAATCTAGAATACTATTAATTTGCAAATAAACAATTTAAAACAAAACAAAAGGCATCGATAACTAAAGTTATACAGCGACGAAAAGATAAAATCAGCTAATTTAAAATAACTTAAGCTATACCTACAACAATGTTGTTATTTTTTGAGATCCGAAGTCCAAATATGAAGGAGGGGAAACGAATTAACGAATTAACGCAAACTTAAAACAGCGTATAATGTAAAAGTCGTACTGAGCGTTACTGAAGAATCCGGTATCTACTCTATTTACTCTATTTACTTTGTTTTCCGTTACTTTGATTTCACTTAAAATAAGTAAGTAAGTAAGTATTGTGCCCTGCACTTACTATGAACATATATTTATGTTGTGTAAGCTACTTACAGGCGACCTACATCCCTCTCCACTTCCCCAATCACGCAATGTGCCGCGGTAAGGACATATCGACTGTTGATCAGACTGCCGCCACAACTGAGCTCACGACGTCCTCTACCTGCAAAGAGAGAACACATTTATTAGCTAGCAACTCCAACTAGTGATCTTCAAGATGCCACTTACGATCCACATACTCTAGCAGGGCCATCCAGTTAAACTCATCCACAGCCGTGTCGTTGCCATTGTAGACCTTGTTGCTGAAGGAGTGAGGCCCACACTTGGGTGGCGAGGGTAGCAGGTTGCCTTGACCTGGCTGACCCTGCTGACTTGAACTGGTAGGCGTCACTGGTGGTGGTGCAGAGGTGGTTTCCTGGGCTCCTGCGCCTGTGCAGCAAACATATGGTGTTCGGCCCACTCCATTGGAGCACGATGAACTGCGAAGGAATGTCCTGTCCTCCGGACTTACGAAACTTTGTTGAACCAAAGAAAGCAGACTTTGACAGTCGTAGATAGATATGCATCTGCCCTGAACCTGGTTCGGGTTTCTACAGCCTAGGTAGAGAGATAATATTCAAAAGTTCATTAAACTGTTTTTATGTAAGATGGACAAATGCTGATAGTTTTGAAAATCTCAAACATTTTAGCCTTGCAGTCTTAACGAAATCGATGAATAATTTTTTTTTTTACTTTTTATATTGTTGGAAAAATATAAGCGATCAAAATGTTATTTTACTAAGACACAGACAGACATGTCTATACCGGTACCTCCGGTTGTGGCTATAAATATATATATAAATACTATAAGATACCCGTTAATCAGCTAATAAATTTCCAACTAAATATTCCCCCACAAAACAAATGGGATTTAGGTGGCGCCATCTGTCGAACTGCATAGTCAACACTAGAAGCTAAGAGCGTGCATTACCCCCACTTCCCGCTAACTGTTCTCACGTTGCTGTCTCTGTCTCGCTACATCAGCGATCACCTGCAGAGCAGCGACCTAAAAATAGGATCAGAGCGGCGGCAGAGGACTTCTGAAATGTTAAAAGATTTTGAAAATTTTGAAATTGTGTCTACCGATAAATGTGACCGAAACACACACAGTGTGCAACAGCTAAGATCTAACATGTCTCAGAGAAACGTGACAGACTTTCGATGCGTAGAAATGACTAGAATCTTCATTGCAAATCTTCAGCTTTTTTAGTTTCCGAGATCTTAAGTTCTTGCCGAAGGACCAACAGACATACGGACAGATAGACGGACATGACTAGATCGACTTGGCTATTGATCCTGATCAGGAAAATATATACTTTATAGGATCAAAAACGCTTCCTTCAACCTGTTACATACTTTTCAACGATTACAATATACCCTTTCACTCTACGAGTAACGGAATAACTATAATATTTTTATAACCTTGCAAAGACGAGTATAATTACTGTCGAAAGTTAAGACTACAGTATAGTAAGCTTTCCCAAAAAACACCAAAAAAATATTGTAAAATTTTAAATTCATTTTTAAATTTACTAAAAATGGTCGATTATCTATAGGTCTTATAAGACAGAACTTTGATCATGTATGTATGTACATATGTAACTCCAGATATAAATTGTTGGTAGATGTCAAAAATACAGTATTTTAAATTATAAATTCATTTTAATTAGCGATGTAACAGAAATTAGTCGTATATATGTAGTCGTTTTAAAGGATATTATATTTTGGGTATTGGTTCAAGGACTTTTAAACGTTAGCTTGCCTTTTTGTTTCCGTTTGTATATTAAATGTTCTAGTTCAAGTATTTTTTTTAATCGCTAAGCACTTTTTTAACGGCCACATAACACTTAACACAAAAAGCTTGATAATGTAATCTGTTGTGCGACCCATACAATTCATTCAGGAGTATTAAAAAGCACACAAATTCACTTAATTAAGTCATTGACATCAAAGAATTGTTAGGTTGTAGGTTCGAGTCTGATAATTACATTGAATCGCAGTTAAGCTACTGAGCTTAACTTCGATAAGTACAGTTAATGAGTCAGCTCCGAGTGAATCACATACAACTTGGTACTAACTTCCTTGGGCCTGTACACCTTGTAGAACGGTGAGCTGCAGTACGCAGATTGTCCAAAAAACCCCAATTACTTGGCGTGTTGCTTTCATCTTGTGTGATATTTCCCATAAACCGTAATAACAAAATTCCCAGCAAATTCAATCAAAACGCGTCTTTGCGATTACGCACATCGACCTCGAACCAGAAAACCGCGACGCAAACTTAAACTACAACCGCCTTTAAGACGCCCCGACAACTGATCGCGAGCTGGCGGATGGAAGGTTTTTAAATACGATCGGAGATGATAATCATGAGAGATAGCGGTAGAGAGAGGTCGTGAGCTGAGCTTTGAGTCGATCGAGAGACTCAAGCTAAGCTTGTCAAAGCTGAGAAAGAGAGAACTTGCTAAAAAGCTCTTGTGAGTCAGATGTCCCATGCTGAGAATTTTATACTTTGAAACTCGAAAATTTGAACTTTCGTTTTTGTATACCAGGGGTGCTCAAAACTGCACTCCCAACCAGCATTTGGAAGTTCGTTTTTTTGTTATTGAATAACAATAACAAAATGTAAGACAATCGAAAATTAATCATCGTGGGGATTGAAATTTCATTATCATTGGGGTGTTGCTTTGCTTCAATAAGTCGATGAACATATCGCCGCAACACAACTTCTTATCTCGTTAATCTTTTTAAACCGGTACTTCTCTTTACAAACTTAAATATCGCGCTCAAAATTTCTGCATTTCTTATCATTGGATTTGGACCGAAATGCACAGCAGTGTCAAAAGAGGTGTTTAAATTCATTTACAAGTTCAAGGTGAAACAAATAAGCTTAACATATTTAATCAAGAAAGAAAGAAACTTCGGCAAGCCGAAGCCAAAAATCAAATATTCTTAAAAACATTAAAATTATCATTAACTTGCGTATATGCACAATTATTTGATAGTCCCTATGGCAGCTATATGATATCGTATTGCGATTTAAATAAAATTAAAAGCGTAATTCTGAACTGTAAAAATGAATTTTTAAATGAAATTACGTCTTCTGTACTACCTGCAATAGAAAAACAACTTTTGGGAAAGAATATATATAACTTTTAGGGTCGGAGATGTCTCCTTCACTGCGTTGCAAACTTCGGACTGAAATTATAATACCCAAGGGTATACAAATAAATAAAAAGAGTTTATAATGTGTGTGCTTTTAGACAATATATTGATTTTCAAAAAAAAAAGTAAGTAGTTTTCGATTAAATAACCCAGAAATTAGAAAAAGTAACCCCTTAAAAATTACGAAATGCTATTTTTTTATGTTTTAATTTTTTTTAATTTGTATGTCTTAATTGGTTTTACATGATTTAAATGTTTTACTTAATAGAATTTATGTAAAATTTGTCGCCATTATTTTATTGTACCGACGCTGCTCAGTAGAAGAAAGTTTGCAAAAGTCCTTTTCAAAAATCTTCAGCTCTTCTCTTGTATGAAGCGGCGGCCAAAGAGTGGTATACGCCATGGTCCTATGAAAATGATATTTTAATTAAACTCATTAGTATTAGCATCATATTTTGTTATAAATTGTTCATATCAGATGTTTAGCTTGCAACAAAAAAGTTTTGAATTATGTCAAGATTAGCATTTCAATATTGTGCATATCTTATCATAATGCAAACAAGAAAGGAAGCAAACTTCAGCCAGCCGAAGCTCATATACCCTTGCAGCTATTGCAAAAATTAAATTTTCTACAAAACGTTAAAATTATGATCTATTTGAGTTCAAGTATTCGAGAGTTCCTATGGCAGCTATATGATGTTGTTTTCCGATTTTAATAATTCTCAAATGTCTAATTATTAATTAGTCAAAAAAAATTTAAACAAGAATGACAGCAAACTTCGGCAAGCCGAAGTTTATATACCCTAGCAGCTATTGCAGGAATTAAACATTTTTGAAAACATTAAAATTATGATTTACTTACTTTAAAAACATTGAAGCTATGAGGATTTGCAGCTCAATTATTCGTTATTTTATATATTTTTATTTTTTTTAATAAATCTTAAACTAAGATTAAGAAACAAAAAACAATTTATATATCTCGAAGAAGAATGAAAAAAATAAACAACAGAAAAGTTATAATTTTGTATAAGGTAGTCGTCGTTCCGACTTCTAACTACCTGCAATAGAAAGACTACTTTTGGGAAAGTTTCATGCAGATAGCTTTAAAACTGAGAGACTAGTTTGCGTAGAAACGGACGGACGGACAGACGGACATGGCCAGATCGACTCTCCTAGTGATGCTGATCAGGAATATATATACTTTATAGGCTCGGAAATGTCTCCAAAAGAATAAAAAAAATAAAAATAAAAATTAGAGAACCTAAATTTTTTGTTTTAATTTTTCGTTTGTTGCCATGATTTTGATCAAATTGAAACCGTAATTTCAAAATAATAAACAATTACTTAATATCGAAGAACCATACAAAATTAAATAACAGCAAAGTTATAATTTTTACATTTTTTCTCGATTTTATGTTGATAGCTTTAAAACTAAGAGACGGACATGGCCAGATCAAATCTCCTAGTGATGTTGATCACTGCGTTGCAAACTTCTGACTGAAATTATAATACCCTCTGCAAGGATATAAAGATAATTTTAATTTTTTAAATCCTTCCTTAAATGTTTAGCTATCAACCAAAAAGTAATTGACTTATGAAAGGTGTAAGGTTTTTTAAAAGAACGGCGCGTATACCTTACGAATTGCCAGGCACTCTCGGCCGTAGACTGATTTTCGATCTGGAGTTGTATTTCCCGCTTGAACTGCTGGGCGTACTCCCGCTTGGAACTGTGATACCGCTCCAGACATCGTATTTGCCTGAAATTATAATATTTAAAGAATTTCTTATGTTAGTTTGCTTTAAGTCTTGCGATCTTACAGAGGTATGCGGTGCTTTGCAAAAGTAGGTTCAAGCACAGGGTCCCTGTCGTCATCAAATACAGTTTGATAAATGGGCTCATAATGCTCTACCTCTACGTCCTTATAATCAGGATCAACAAATACCTTATCGGCATTATGGCGCCTTGTCATGGCTGAGAAAGAATATTGCTCCTCGTCACTCAGTCGGAAATGGGTCCCCACAAAAGAAGCGCAGAAGGACTTCATTCCCATGCTCATCCTCTTGTCCTCCATAAGTTTTCTCTTTTCCTGAATCAGGGTCTTGCGCTCCATAGATTGACTCATTTTAAAAGATCGCGCTAAATAGATGTTTATCCCTGTGGATGAATATTTTTGTTTTGATCTATAAAATTTTAAAATTTTAGCTGTGTGACTGTTTATTGATTTCAATGTGTGTATGTTATGTATATAAGTGATACGCCAGACTATATTGAAAGCTAGGTTAAATTTTGTTAACACATTCTTAAATATGTATTTTGATGAACTCTAATTGTGACATTTAATTCAAAGCTATTTAATTCGTATACTGCAAACTGGTGACAAGGCTGGTTCCTATAAAGATATTTCCGTATTAATTATTTTTCAAAGAATAAAAGTAACTAAAAATGTCGTATTAGACATGCGAGCTGTACTATGTATAAGCTATAGCTTACGCTACTCATGTTTTGATTAATTAAAAAATAAATGCCTTTGCTGGAGTAGTACTTAAAAACATCGCAACAAGTAAATGTATTTAAATTTATTTATGACAAAAAACTGGAATTGCCTTTGTAGTTCTTTAAACATGTTGAAGTCTTTGACCTTAGCAAAAAAAATCGTTGAAGCAAACAGAGGACTTTCCATGAAACTTGTATGTTTAGTCGAAGCGACTTTGAATCCTTGCAGATTAACATTTGCATTTCAAGCGCTGCAGCTTGCCATAAGTAGTGATGTAAAAAACAGGAAACTAGAGGACGAACAGGAGCTCTAAAGTAGAACACCAATCGAGTACAACTTTAGCAAAAGTTGTTTTCCTTTGCCTGTCGGCATCGAAGCGTGGTCCTACCATCCCATCCAATTCCATCCCGTCCCTTTCCGCACCTCACATCCTCACATCCTGCTTAGCTTCAATGAAGGCTCCAACGCTCCGTTAAGCCCCCTTAGCCCTTTTAGACCCTCTCGGCCTCCAGAAGGCCGTTCCACTTGGCCCATTCACGATGTCTATCTCTCTGTTGGGCGCTTTGTTTTTGTGCCGGCCTATTCATAATTCCACAGCCGGCTGCTGGCACAAATTGAAAAGCAAACACGTGGCTCTGTAGTTGGCCTTATCACTGGCTACATTGGGATTCGTTTGCTCAGAGCCACTGACACTTCGTCATGTCCACCAGTCCGTCCGGTTGTGTTTCAGCTGTTTCAGTACCAGAGTCGGAGTCGAACCGAGCCCTCGGAATTTGAGTTTTTGTGTTGGTTGCTGTGACACTTTTTTGTTCATGGCTCCGTCCTCTGCGTGTCATTTTGTTTGTGGGCTTAGGTCAGCACTTTGCCATTTCATAGCTGCATGCACCAGGGTCCTCATTGTCATCATGATCGTCTCATCTCCACTACGTCCTGCAGTCCCAGGGCATTGTTTAATAATTTCCCTGCTTAGGGCAGGATGTTCCAGCTGCTCGGAACATGTCGGTACACTTTCTTTCTTTCGAAAGCCCCAAACTTTAACTTTAGCTTAACTCTTAATGATGGCGCTTAGGCGAAGGGGTATCGCTGCTAATTTTCTTGGCCAGCAGCAAAAGTTTAAGCCAACTTTAAGGAATTCACTGCTCGACTTTTGAGCTACTTTTTTCTAGTTTTTTTTAAAGTTTTTTCTTACAGCTCCAGATGGACGACTGGGCAGCCATCAAAAGCAGACGCCACTTGAGTTGATTTCCTATCGGAGCCATTGAGTTTGAGTTGAGTCCTGGTCAAGGACCCGAGTCACTCGTGTGTCGATTTCACTGGGTCTGCATTTAAACCCTCGAGCCTTGTATATTAATTGAAATTAAAAGCACTTTCGAGTGTCCTTCCACTGCCTGCCATTAAAGTTATAACGCGGAAATCATTTTAAGTGTCAGGAGTGTCGAGTGTCGTAGAGCTTAAACATTTAATTTTATTTATTTAAACCAAAAAAATTCATTTTTATTGATTTACAGTAATTATCTTCTTAAATCTGTTCATTTAAACCTTATATCTTATGCTTTCTTCGCTTAAAAATGTATTCTTAAAGTCTTGTACATGATGAACTGTAAAGACCTTAATATGCTTAAAATATTCAAAAAACAGGAAAAAAATGTTGTTAATT